GACAACCTCTCGTCAATATGCGTTTTTCGCATTGCATTGCTGCAAAAAACGCATAAAAACTACTGTTTTAAAATTCAGATGCATCTATTTATATGTGTGCATGTGCGTATATATATGCGCGCCTTTAATGGATTGACCTAATAATTCTGTGATGCCGAGCTAGAGTTTTTGGTGCACATACCAGTAGTTTCCCCACCAAGCTATCCACAGCCTTCAGTATCTCTGTACAGCTACAACAACACATAACCAATGGTTCAGCCAGCTGTAACACCGACGATCCTAGTGGCGGTTTCTTGGACTGACTACCTCACTATTCGGCAAAAACTGCTGGCCCAGTCGTTGTTTCTGCCTTATACAGGCAGATTGCCCGACGAGTGCCTACCCGCTGCTCTTCGTGCTGTCGATCACAACATAGTTGATAAAGAGCTGCTGAATAAGAAGAGGGGGAGAGAGAGGAGGACCGGGGAGGGGGGAGGGAGGAGAAGGCTTAAAACCGGCATTTGGGCATTACTGTGTTCGAGTTATGAACTCAGATACGAATTCAGGCTGACCTTATCACTAAAACTACGCAACGGCCGCATGCGTCTCAAAATCGTTGTATCACGACGGTTTCTTTGCGTCTGTTGCGCCTGATCACAAAAGCGCGCCGCTGTAAATCGTGATTTCAAGAGTTATTATAGTTCCGTCAAAAGTTCATAATATGAAGGTACGCGCAGTTGGTGCAAGAAGCCTATATGTAACATGGGAACCGCCACGACTGCCAAACGGATATGTTCGCGGATACTTTGTTACATTTGAAAGTAAGTGCTTTCAGGTCACTCCTCCATTAAAAATGAATTTTGATCTAATTCCTCAACACTAGTAATCATTGGAAATTCAAACTCGGTTTCGGTCATGCTTGTTGAAAAGACCAACATTCGTGCGTGTTGGGTAAATTTGGCTGGAACACATTTAGAAGCAAATGAACGGAGGCAAGCATTTTCGGCTTAAATACAGCAGCACTAAACACTGAAAAAGCGAGATGTTCAGATTCTTCGACCGGTGCAATAGAAGAAACTTATGTGCTGAATAGACAGCTGTATTACTTACATGAAGAAGGCGAACCAAACACCGGTTACAAAGTTTCTGTCTGGGCGGAAACAAACGGTGGTGAAGGGCCAAAAGTAATGAGACCAGTGCGCACTTGGCCGCTCCGAGGTACTGTTTTTTCGCAAAATTTACGCATCGCAAACCGTTTTTGCAGATTTCACACTTGTTTTCTGTAAGTTAGCAACAAAAATAACTCATGAGCATTTCGTGTTTTGAGTTTCTTGTCGCATATGATAAGAGAGAACCCTGTTCATAAAATATCTTGCATGAAAGATGAAGCGTTTCTGCAAGCGCTGAAAATTAGCAATATAATATCAGTTAAAATGGATTCCAAGACTAAGAATATTATTATTATTATTGCTGTAACTATTTTTGCATTACAGAGCCAGATGTACCGAGTTTTATCGTCGAAGCAACGTCGCCGACTACAATACAAATTCAGTGGCTGCCATCAAATGGGTCCGAATGGATGATGCCCGGATCAACTTTTTTTGTTAGATACTCAATTGCTGGTAAAAGCATTTCAGTGCTAATAATTTTCCTCACCCAATTTTTGAAATTCTCATAAAGATCTTCATTTTTTTAATTATCTACACGTCACCAGTGCTGAAGAAACAGGACATAGCACTGTTATCGTAGTTGGTCATTTCTTCCGAGAGCTTTATTTGGAAAAAGGCTGATGAAGCTGCAGATAGTGATGAATGGACAGAAAGCGAGCAAATTAGTTTGCCGAGAACGGATATACTGTTGAGCGACCTGGAGGAGGACACAGTATACAAAGTGATTGGTATCGCCAAAGAAGGCAATCAACAGCGAGCTTCTGATGTGATTGCTGTTCGAAGTCTTAGTCGCGCAACAATTGCGCACATATCCCATGGTAAGTAGGATTACTAAAATCAGAACACACCATCGCAGTAAACATATTTCCGTAATCTGCAGGAGTTGTCATCTACTAACCTTTCCATAGAAATTCTGAAATGTTGCTTATCAAGAGTGCAAAGATATTCCGAAAACAGAGCAGCACTTTTTGATGTAGTGTAGGAACACATGTCGGTGATTCTCGTGGCACTTCAAAGAGCATTCGGTAAGCCGTTCAGGTTTCACCTCAAAACGTGACACGCGTTAGCACTGGCCGATCAAGCGTCAGTATTCTGAATTATAGTTTGTTTATAGAGCGCTGCATCTTCGGCACAAATAATCTATTTTTATGTGTTTTTTGCAACTATGCAATGCAAAAACGCATATTGTTGAGGGTGTATCTGTGTATATGTAGGTGTGTCTGTACCGAGTTTTCATCTCGAGATCTGCAAAAGCTGCAAGCTGAAACTTCAGCAACTTAATCTATACATATGTGCGGGCCCTTATTCTTAAAATGAACGCTCATTTCCCCGTGACTCTTACGTACGAGCGTGAAAGTTTTTTTGGCGGGAAAACGATTTCAAGAAATGCGCAGCTAGAAGGCTGAAACTTGACAAAGATGTTCCTAATTCACAGATTTCAGATCAGCCTTCACGCACCCTTTTAAGTCACATATACGCGCACATCGAAATTTAGGCTGGCATCGTGCCAATTCCAGATTTTAGCTGATCAAGAAGTTGTAGAGGACTGTAATTTTGAAGTATTATTTATCGCTAACTGTTGTGCCCATGAAAGTAAATTGGGTTTTCTAGCCCCTCTGCATTTCACGTACGGACATGTGAAAAACTCACGTAGGCAGTTTTGTAACTTCAGAATTGGAACAGCTAATGGACTCGAACTTTCTGAGCAGAAGCGACGGCGACGTTTGGCCAACTGGGTGTAAAAACGACTTTCACGTCTTCTTCATGTCTTGCGTACGCATGCGTGAAACTTGACATAACCAAAGCAACTAGAGCGCTGAAATTTCCTGGGTGTGGCCCAGGACCATATTTAAACAAGCGCACGTGAAAACAGCGTTCACTTTTTATGCGTTTTTGCCTATATGCAAATTGCAAAAACGCATATTGGGACGACCCTGTCT